GAGCAAAGTTCGAACTTTGTTGGGACAATTTTAAACTGACAATTATTGGATGAGGTTTTTGTGATATCCGGAATAGTCGAGGTTGAGGTAAGTGTTATCAGCCTAAACCGAAAGCTGAGGCTGATAACACTAACCGAGACCTTCATTATTTCGGGTGTCACAAAAACCGAAGCTAATAATTGTTTTATTATACATTGTTTTAATGAAAATAACGTCAAACGCATTATCGCACCGAACACAGTTGATTTTCGACAAGCCATGTTCTTACTTCGCTGTCCGTGATCTTGACATTGCTCTTGGAAATTATGCATTGCGCGCGCAACCTACAGATTATTCACTGATCTGCTAGCAGATTAGTGAATAATCTGTAGGTTGTGCTGTTTCCTAGAATTAACTGTAGTTTTTTTTTTTAGCCAATGAGAAGACAGATGGTGACTACAATGTATAATGATTTTAACTATTAACAACATCCAACTAAAATTCTGAGGAGCTCCGCTTTTAGGCCTGGCTAAATCTGTGTATTAAATAATATACCTGTGTGCAGTCCTGTGTGTACTGTGTACTTCAAACTGAGGCGTAATGTCTTCGTACATCTCAAAGACGCAACACTTGCTGTTAATCATATGGCTTGCTGTCTTCGCCGCATTTGCTTTGATAGGTTTTCGAGATTTCCTTACGAACTTGGAGGAGAACAGGTGTGATATGACATGGATGTACGAATGGCCGCGGTACATAAAAGTGCCTCTGTGGAAAGGAACAGCAAAACGTTTTCCAAAGTATGCCTTATACCTTTATGGAGAAGGAGAATATGCAGATAGATCTAAAGGTCTTCGGTTGTCCGGAATCCCCGTTCTTTTTATTCCCGGCAGTGCAGGAAGTTACAAGCAAGCTCGATCACTTGCGTCAGTAGCGTTAAGGAAGGCAGAAAGTCTGACATCTAAAGTCCATTTTAATTACTTTACGGCTGATTTAGATGAATCGCTGTCTGGCTTATTTGGAGGTGTATTGTATGAACAAACTGAATTTATAAGAGTTTGTGTGACACGGATCCTCTGGTTATACATGTATGAGAAGATCAAAAATCCACCAACATCTGTTGTACTTGTAGGGCATTCAATGGGTGGTTTGATTGCAAGAGGTTTGTTTACGTTGCCAAAGTTTGATCCAAGTGTTGTTCATACAATCATTACCTTTGGAACACCTCATTGCCATCCTGTCCTGTCCCTTGATCCACAGTTGGCGGACTATTATGAAACAGTAAACAGTTTTTGGAAAAGTCAAGCATTTAGTAATGATACTGAAGCAAGATTGAAGAATATAACTCTAGTGTCAGTGAGTGGTGGACTCAGAGATGTGTTGGTGCGATCAAGTCCCTCTTCCATGAACCATTTAGCTTCACAGTCGCAAGCTATCAGTCTTGTGACAACTTCTGTACCAAAAGCATGGCTCAGTGTTGACCACCTGTGCCTATGCTGGTGTCGACAACTAGTGCTAGTGACTAACCGTGCATTATTTGATATGATTGATCCAAGGAAGGGACAAATAATGGAAAATAAGCAACATAGAATGAAAATTTTTGAGCATTACTTTGTCAAGAATCCAGGACAATCAGCAGTTACTCTCAGTAATACTAGCAATGTACTCATAAAAAGAACAGATAAGGATTTTAGTCTAGTTGTTTTGCATAAGAGGCTGTGGAGATTCAAAGGAAGTGGCAAAACTGTAAATGAACAAAACCTTTTTCTATTTTCTAAAGATGAATGGTCTGCAACACATGATTATTTAATGATAATCACAACCATCGACTCTGACCAGTGGTTATATGGGTGTCAGGAGGTTTCTGGTCAAGCTTGTACTAACATTTCAAGCTTATCTCACCTTGCAGAGGTACTTCCTTGGGGTAGCTCAACAATGAAGTATGCAAAGCTTGAGCTCAATCATTTTCCAGAAATACCATATTTTGCTGTTAGTATACCCGATTCAAGAAAATCCACCATTGTTTGGTCGGAGTATCAATCATCCAGCGGCACAGAGTATGATGTGGAATTACCAGGAGTGTTATCTAAAAGGTCAAAGGTTCTTGATATTGCTTCTGATTCTCTTTTTGCCAACATAACTTTAAAATCTGTAGTAAAGAGTTGGAAGGTGTACATTTTTGACATTGAACCCATAGACTGTGATACCAGAAGGTCAGTGTTGATAGCAAGAATTCATGTACCCTGGTTCAATGAAGATGTGTACAATTTCTCAAGCAATGGTTCAACAAAACTTGTATTAAAATTACATCACCCAAAGCCAAAAGGAAACAAACACCATGTCCAGATGCATCTGTGGTTAGATCCGAAGTGTTCATATAGAGTGAGTGCTCAATATGACTTTTATCAAACACTTGGCCAGATATACAGATTTTATGCGGTACAGCTCTTTTGTTGGACATTTGCAATTGTATTGCTAGTGTTTGCATGGCAGCTCTCATCAATCAGCATTGAACAACAGTGTGAGTCATTCTTCAGTCTGATTTCAAATGTGTCAAAGAGCCTCAGAGGTCTGCTTCTGGTTGCACAAAGTCATTTCTTTGTCTCACAATTTGTTCTTGCATTTTTTTTACTGAATGGTGAGAGTGGCCAACATAGCTGGCTTCCGAACATTGATGACTTGAAGACCTTTATTTGGTTGCTGCCACTGGTTCTAATCATATCAACAGCTGTAATTATTGTCATTGCTTTATTTGTGTGGACTGGCCTGTTTGTAAGGTTTGGTGGTTTAATTTTAAGTCATTTGAAATTGTCACTTTATGTGCAAACTGGAATTGGAGTTAAGGACTGGATATGTGGAACTGTCATCATTATAATATCACTTCTTTTCTGTGGAACTTTGAGCCTTATTTTGATCTTCATTTTGTGTCTTTGGAGAACTTGGAAATATGCCGCTCTTGTTAAGATATGCAAGAGTCAATTACCTAAGCAGAGAAACCATAGGCAGATAACCATAATAGAAAGCCTGGAAAACTTTGGCTTGACTTTGTGTGTGCTGATTTTGCTACTGATCATTATTAATTTCCCAGCGTTGGTAGTCTGGGCAAAAAACTTGACATTTTCTTACCATCTTCATTCAGATCACACCACTTTAATTTCAATTATTATTGGTGTAAACATGATTGGATTTCAGCCACTGATAAAGGTTCCTTGTTCTCTGGTGTACCTGTGCTTTGTAACAAGTATTGCTATGACACAAGCTGCAATCATCCCTCTGCACATGATACCCTATACTGTTTGCTTTCTTTTTACTGTGTTAAATGTGTCTCAGTTTTTTGGTAGATTTAAAAGGCAGAAAGAAGATTGAAGCAACAGACAACACTATAAACAGTTTTATTAGTAAAAGACTACAGATATGCAATATTTAATTCTCAATTTCCTTTTGTATTATTTTTGCTTTTGTTATGACTACATGTATTGTTATTGAAACCCTTCTATAAGGAAGTGTCATAAAGTTATACCTGTATATCGCTATAGGAACCCAGATGTAATGCTAGCTGTTGACATATGATTACCCAACCAAAGAGAATTTACATTTTGACAATCCAAATGAATTAGTTGTTTTCGTTCATTTTCTTTCAGTGTTTCTAAAGGAAATATAGTCGAACCTCCCATAAGCGACCACCCAAAATGTCAAGCCTATGTGGTCGCTTGCGGGAGGTTGGCGCTTACGAGAGATTAGACCACATTGGGTCAAAATTTTGCGTCATTAGCATATGGTAACTGCAGAGACTTCATGAATGAATGTTTTATTCATGGAAAGTCAATTCTGAGAAAAATAAGGTACGTCCCATTGAGAAATTTGCGCTCTATTATCTGTCAAGTGGTCGCTTACGAGAGGTTAAAAACAAAAGAAAATTTCAGACTATTAGTTCTGAAAGTGGTCGCAGTCGCTTAGGAGAGGCGGTCGCTTACAAGAGGTTCCAAATATAGTGATTTGTCTTGACAACGTTTGGTCTTTTGGAAAACTGGTCGCTGAGGAGAGGTGGTCGCAATCGGAGGTTCGAGGGATCATGTTTTACTTAAGGCATCTGTCGGTCGAGTATCGGCCGATACCATCGCCCACCGACAATCGGTCGACATATCGGCCAATACGCGGCCGATATAACTGATACCAGTTTACCGACCGTACCTGATCTACCTGAAAACGGATTTTTTTCTGAGGTCAGTTTTTCAGAACCGAGGTCGGTTGCACAGACACAAAAAACTGATCCGTCCGTCGATGTCTGTCGATATGTCGGCCGAGTGTCAGTCGACATATCGACCGATAGTGTCGACCGATACTCGGCCGACAGATGCCTTAAGTACACATGATCCGGTTCGACTGCATAGGATGTTTTCTCCACGTTAGTTCGTGTTTCTACTGAGTTATGCATCAGTCAATTCCAGCTGTGCCCATCCCTCCAGCCCCACTCCTCCCTGGACATTGGTTGTGTTTGATATTTGTAGACTGCATTTAGGCCTTAATAGGTTCTGGTTAGCCTGAATATCACTCAGATTAGCCTGAACAACACTCGGGTTTCGCTGTATAATATGTTTGGCTCTCAGAATTGGAATTGGGAATGGGATATTACTTAAAAAGTCCGCGGTTTGCCGGCTGCAGTCTGCAAATGTAATCAGACATAACTGGGGCAAAAGTGGGGCATTTCCCACACCGTCCAAACTAGGGGATGGGTATTAACCTTCCACCCAATTACCCTGAGGCGTATTTTGACCATCTCGATTTTTTCATCTTGCAGCATCATTACCAACTCATCGGCTTAAACGGTAATTTTTTTTCTGGAATACATCTACATAGGGTAAGAATAAGACGGTAGACCTGCACAATGACCTACATTTTCACTTGGAAAATCCGAGATGGAGGTATGGTTGGGCGATTCAGTTGATCCTTCGTTCCTTTCTTCGCTTCCGATTAGTCTTTTTGTGATCAAATCCGCTGACCAGTGTATAAGGTTGTCGCAGTCGTAGTGAAGTTTAAGTAATTATATTCAACATGGAGGTGAAACGATTTCCTCGCCTAGTGAGCAGTTTAAATTTAAATTAGTATTAATCAAATATTATGAGAGTGCGTTCGACGCTGTCACTTTATACCGCGTTCGCGAGAAAATTTTCCAGTCGATACCTGTTACCTGTTACCTAGCTTCTTTGTGCCTCGTGGCACATAAGGCCTCCAAAGAATGCCTCCAATTTTCTCTGTTGGCTGCAGCAGCTCTTGCCTCATCCCATGTACGCCATCCCGCGCTGTTCCTCTGACGTTCTTTGGGTGGGCTAGTGATCTCATCTGCCCAAGGATCTCCGTTTGGCTTTCACCCCAATGCGTCATCAAACCTCTCATGGTGTGAGGAGTGACCACGACGTCCCCCAGATCATTTGAAATTATTCTGCTTCTGGTTTCGGTAATAATATGTTTTTTACAGGAACGGGTGATCAGCCCGCAGCCCAACCCCCAACCTGGAGGACCAGGGAGCCTCTTCGTCTGGCCCCTACCCTTCGACCTGTTCGGCATGGGTGACCCTACCAGGTGCACATGGTACCCGCCGACATAGCTCTGGGGGTCACTGGGGCACGCAAACCACTCCACCACGACCAGGTGATGGCTCCATGGAGTGGTTTTCCAGTCGATAGATTTTCTTAAATTTTTGCTGCAGTCAGATAATGAGTTACTTGTGTCAGAAATGCAAAAAAAATTAGGGGTTACCGACTTCGTTTCAGAGATAAAGCTTGTTGAAAACTACCCTGATTTTTAAAAATTGGTGCACGTAATTTGGCATGGTCTACAGGGGTTTATAGTTAAAAATATCAAAGGCGAGTCAACGGAGGCAAACGATCTTAGTCATATTTTGCACAAGTGGGTCTGTTGCGTAAATAATTCCAAATCTTGCCAACGTTTCACAAAACTTAATCCTTCAAGAGGCATTTGAAACCGTCGCACNAATATGTTTTTTACAGGAGCGGGTTATCAGCCCGCAGCCCAACCCCCAACCTGGAGGACCAGGGAGCCTCTTCGTCTGACCCCTACCCTTTGACCTGTTTGGCATGGGTGACCCTACCAGGTGCACATGGCACCCGCCGACATAGCTGTAGGGGTCACTGGGGCACGCAAACCACTCCACCACGATCAGGTGATGACTCCATGGAGTGGGCTTGAATAACTGGCACCTGATATTTTGTTACAAAGAACCTAGAAGTGAACATTTAACTGGAGAATGAAGTTTCCTTCTCACCTACTACCTATACCTATATCTCTTCATGCCAATTAATTGAAGGCCTTGACTTTCTCCTCCATCCATCTCCATTTGCTGCTAGAACTTTCATTTTACCTATGCAAAATATGTTCTGTAGGCTCAAGTGGATGATGGTGTTCCAATTGGCACATGTCTCATGCTGTTTGGACGCTGGTTACAGGAGATGAAAGATAAAAAAGGCTTCAAATTTCCTTGTGAGCAGGTACAGAAAAACGATCAGGAAAACAGCATGGAGAGTTTGGACAAGTGGTGCACTTTTGTTACATGGTCAGGTAAGTCCAAACTTCTTAGAATCTTAATTGTCAATGCAGAAAGTGGGTTCCATTTGATTTGACCAATGAAAAAAAAAACTGAGAAATGACAGATGGTGTGGCAACATGATGGCAGCTAGAAATCTCACACTTGCCATGTGGTGGCTTGTTCCCACCCCTGCTTCAAAACTTAAAAACCAGGATATCATAATGTTTATGTAATCAAAAGTTTTGTGTTGAGGGTCAATGGTCCAAATCACTATTATATTTGAAGTAAGCCCTTTCATTATTGATCGAACTGTTAACTGGAATCAGAGTTTCTTTTTTCTTTTTTTTTGAAAAAAGAACGTCTGATCGCAGATTAGTCAAACTGAGCCAGAGGTAATGGGTGTGGTGCCCTAATGGTGTACCCAAGAGCCCTCAGATTGGGGTAGTTGCATTGTGCACTTGGACAAGATAATTTACTCTCACAGTGCCTCTGTCTACCTAGGATATAATGACTTNGAGCAAAGTTCGAACTTTGTTGGGACAATTTTAAACTGACAATTATTGGATGAGGTTTTTGTGATATCCGGAATAGTCGAGGTTGAGGTAAGTGTTATCAGCCTAAACCGAAAGCTGAGGCTGATAACACTAACCGAGACCTTCATTATTTCGGGTGTCACAAAAACCGAAGCTAATAATTGTTTTATTATACATTGTTTTAATGAAAATAACGTCAAACGCATTATCGCACCGAACACAGTTGATTTTCGACAAGCCATGTTCTTACTTCGCTGTCCGTGATCTTGACATTGCTCTTGGAAATTATGCATTGCGCGCGCAACCTACAGATTATTCACTGATCTGCTAGCAGATTAGTGAATAATCTGTAGGTTGTGCTGTTTCCTAGAATTAACTGTAGTTTTTTTTTTTAGCCAATGAGAAGACAGATGGTGACTACAATGTATAATGATTTTAACTATTAACAACATCCAACTAAAATTCTGAGGAGCTCCGCTTTTAGGCCTGGCTAAATCTGTGTATTAAATAATATACCTGTGTGCAGTCCTGTGTGTACTGTGTACTTCAAACTGAGGCGTAATGTCTTCGTACATCTCAAAGACGCAACACTTGCTGTTAATCATATGGCTTGCTGTCTTCGCCGCATTTGCTTTGATAGGTTTTCGAGATTTCCTTACGAACTTGGAGGAGAACAGGTGTGATATGACATGGATGTACGAATGGCCGCGGTACATAAAAGTGCCTCTGTGGAAAGGAACAGCAAAACGTTTTCCAAAGTATGCCTTATACCTTTATGGAGAAGGAGAATATGCAGATAGATCTAAAGGTCTTCGGTTGTCCGGAATCCCCGTTCTTTTTATTCCCGGCAGTGCAGGAAGTTACAAGCAAGCTCGATCACTTGCGTCAGTAGCGTTAAGGAAGGCAGAAAGTCTGACATCTAAAGTCCATTTTAATTACTTTACGGCTGATTTAGATGAATCGCTGTCTGGCTTATTTGGAGGTGTATTGTATGAACAAACTGAATTTATAAGAGTTTGTGTGACACGGATCCTCTGGTTATACATGTATGAGAAGATCAAAAATCCACCAACATCTGTTGTACTTGTAGGGCATTCAATGGGTGGTTTGATTGCAAGAGGTTTGTTTACGTTGCCAAAGTTTGATCCAAGTGTTGTTCATACAATCATTACCTTTGGAACACCTCATTGCCATCCTGTCCTGTCCCTTGATCCACAGTTGGCGGACTATTATGAAACAGTAAACAGTTTTTGGAAAAGTCAAGCATTTAGTAATGATACTGAAGCAAGATTGAAGAATATAACTCTAGTGTCAGTGAGTGGTGGACTCAGAGATGTGTTGGTGCGATCAAGTCCCTCTTCCATGAACCATTTAGCTTCACAGTCGCAAGCTATCAGTCTTGTGACAACTTCTGTACCAAAAGCATGGCTCAGTGTTGACCACCTGTGCCTATGCTGGTGTCGACAACTAGTGCTAGTGACTAACCGTGCATTATTTGATATGATTGATCCAAGGAAGGGACAAATAATGGAAAAT